ATTTGGTTTCCGTCCAACTCTTTCCAGCATGCGTTGTGTGGACTAGTTCATGATTCAGAGTATGTGAGAACTAACGTGTACGATTCTCTCTCTCTCTCTCTCTCTCTCTCTCTCTCTCTCTCTCTCTCTCTCTCTCTCTCTCTCTCTCTCTCTCTCTCTCTCTCTCTCTCTCTCTCTCTCTCTCTCTCTCTCTCTCTCTCTCTCTCAGTATATTAATGATCCAAAATTGCACGAGAGCGTCTAAAATCCACGTTCACCTGGTTAGGAGGAACTCACATAATGTAATCTATTTAGTACATTGTTAGAACTGATATAATGTAATCTATTTAATACATTGTTAGAACTCACGTAAGGTAATCTATTTAGTACATCGTTAAAACTCACATAATGTAATCTATTTAATATCTTGTTAGAACTCACATAATGTAATCTATTTAATACATTGTTAAAACTCACATTATGTAATCTAATTAATAAATTGTTAGAACTCTCATAATGTAATCTAGTTAATACATTGCTAGAACTCACATAATGTAATCTATTTAATATATTGTTAGAACTCACATAATGTAATCTATTTAGTACATTGTTTTCATCTTCCTATTTATTAAAACATATTGATGATAGCAGACTATACAAACTTACGATGTCCAATGCCCCTCTCCACACCCAACCCCAATCCCTGCCTTTCTCAATCATTGGTTGGTATGGAAGCAGATTAATCAAACAACAGATAAATATAGAATGGACAATACATAAATGCCTTTATAGCACGTATACCCATCGTAACCAGAAGCACTTCTCTCTCTCTCTCTCTCTCTCTCTCTCTCTCTCTCTCTCTCTCTCTCTCTCTCTCTCTCTCTCTCTCTCTCTCTCTCTCTCTCTCTCTCTCTCTCTCTCTCTCTCTCTCTCTCTCTCTCAAGAGTGTGACGGAGTTTTCGACTGTGTCCTGTGATCATGTTTCTCGACCTATGATTGAAGGCAAAATTTAGGCACACGGACCAAAGCAAAGATGACAGTTTAAAAGAAGATAGAAACAATTATGTGGTCGGTAGTAATATTAATTTAATCATAATATGAAATCATAAGTGCATTTAAATGTTTGAGTAACATTGCTGGTTCGTCATGTTGCTTAGTTTATATATCCCACTCGTCTCAATATGTTAGCTGGCAATTCTGTGACTTAGCGTTCAGTGTTCAAGTAGCTAAACAAGCTGTGTAGAGCTCTACTTTCTTCGTTTAAAAAATATTTCGTGTTTAAATAATATGTCGTTTATTTATTAAATCAGTGAAAAGAAGTTCAATAAATAAAACATTCAGCTTATCAACGCAAAGGAGTTTAGCCGCCAAATGTAAAGAACTGTTTTATAGCATACATACTACACAAGAATGTGCAGAGCTAATTCTTTAAATATATACACAGTTTGCCTGTCGTCAGTCTTAAATGCGTTGCAGATGCAAATACGAATGTTTGTAGATTATATATATATATATATATATATATATATATATATATATATATATATATATATATATATATATATATATATATATATATATATATAATACACGCACAGCATGAACTCTGTATCTTTCATATACCACTCTTTGTATAAAATGTTTCACTAAAAGGAGCATATATAAGCTATACAATTCAAAGTTAATCGTGCGCTTTGTGAGAAATTAATGATACCCATGTGAAAAGTAAAACTGCACAAGATTTAACACTTATTAACACAATTAACATTATGTCTATAAGCAAGCATGCCCTGCTGAAGCATTAAATGTCCGGACACCTGTAAATCCTGTCATCTCAAATAATTTAAATATATTATAAAGAGTTTAACTAAATAAAGGAGGTAAGCAAATGGTTTTCGCTTTGATGCTGTTTATGTCTGATTTTCCAACAGGAAAAGCCAACCTATTTAACATAGCATGCTAGAGCTAGCTAAAGACGTAAACCAGTCAAATAACCGTTGTGGAAGGTAAGCTATATTTTGATGTAGGTTTCTATAATATATATATATATATATATATATATATATATATATATATATATATATATATATATATATATATATATATATATATATATATATATATATATATATATATATATATATATATATATATATATATATATATACTTGGAAAATTTAGATTCTGACGATCATTAATCTAATTTAGCTGAAGGAATGAATCAAGTTATTTTATAGGTTAGAGACCTTTAATAAGATTCACAGAATCCATCAAACGATTTAATGTAGGATAAAAAATTTCGATCGGAGGGCCAGAACTGTTTGTTAGGCCTCTGTCTAAGGACACGACTATCATCTTGAGGATGGGATTTTCCTGTCATAAACTGGAGCATAGTTAAAATTTTCTTTTTAACTTATCTTAATAAAAAAATGATGGTCTGAGACAAAAAGGAGTATTGTGAATGCTGATGTAACTTTTAAACAGAAAAACAACTTCAGTACCAATGATAGAACGTACAAAGTTAGGTTTACACTAAAAATTCAATGTAAACATCAAAAATGACTTTTAAGCGCAATCTAGCTTTCAAACAGCTATGTTAATTTCAATACACAGCATTTGAATTGTACATAACTCAGTGATACACGTCGGATCAGGTATGTTAATTGCAATACACAGCATTTGAATTGTACATAACTCAGTGATACACGTCTAATCAGGTATGTTAATTGCAATACACAGCATTTGAATTGTACATGACTCATGATACACGTCTAATCAGGTATGTTAATTGCAATACACAGCATTCGAATTGCTCATAACTCAGTGATACACGTCTAATTAAGTATGTTAATTGCAATACACAGCATTCGATTTGTACATAACTCAGTGATACAAGTCGGATCAGGTATGTTAATACACAGTATTCGAATTGTACATAACTCAGTGATACACGTCTGATCAGGTATGTTAATTGCAATGTACAGCATTCGAATTGCTCATAACTCAGTGATACACGTCTAATTAAGTATGTTAATTGCAATACGCAGCATTCGATTTGTACATAACTCAGTGATACAAGTCGGATCAGGTATGTTAATACACAGTATTCAAATTGTACATAACTCAGTGATACGCGTCTGATCAGATATGTTAATTGCAATACACAGCATTCGAATTGCTCATAACTCAGTGATACACGTTGGATCAGGTCACAACCTGAAGTTCACTAATACCTACAAGATGAATAGAGACACACAAAGAAACAATAAAGAATAATCCTGAATTCAGCTTTTAACTGGAATTGATTAGACCTTGAAATAATAACAACAACAATAACAATAATAATGTTGTTGTTGCTGGGCTTAACGCCATTTTTCAGCACACGATAGGCTTATACCAAGCGGCCAGTATTAAAGGTGGAGGAAGAAACCGGGAAATCACCGAAAAGAACCAACAACCCACGAGAAGCATCTGGCCAGTTTTTTCACATATCCACATTCGCCGAATCCTAGACTCGCACCTACCCAGAGAGAGGTGAGATGGCAGTGATCCATAACGGACAGCGCTTTAGACTACTCGGCAATAAGTAGAAGAAGAAGAAGAAGAACAAGAAGAAGAACAAGAACAACAACAACAACAACAACAACAACAACAACAGAAATAACGTCATCAAAACAAACGGATTAGTTATTTTCAATTGTAGGTAAGTAGTCGTACTTGTATTCACATAGTACGAAGCGGTATGTCTTAGGATGTGAGTGTTTTGCAACAAATATTTACCTTGATATTGTGAAACAATGCACGGGTGATTGGCAGAAATTGGAATGTTCATACTACTTTGTGTACCCTATGTTCGCATTCCTAAATATTTTTCGTAAACACTTCTAGGGCTACATTACTCTCCGCTATATATATATATATATATATATATATATATATATATATATATATATATATATATATATATATATATATAATACCTGCACGTGAGCATAGACGGTTACTCTACGATTCGTGTTATGTAAACAAAAAGTGCATAATAATGACTATTCATCTTGTCTCTACGTATACTTCTTTTCTTTTTGTGTCTCTACATCCTTCACATTTTTGTTACGGTTTGTTATCTACCTTACAAAGTAAATGTAAATTTTAATCACAGAATGGAGACACCGATAAGCTGGTAAAGTAATGTATTATTATTATTATGTATATTATTATATATATATATATATATATATATATATATATATATATATATATATATATATATATATATATATATATATATATATATAATACCTGCACGTGAGCATAAACGGTTACTCTACGATTCGTGTTATGTAAACAAAAAGTGCATAATAATGACTATTCATCTTGTCTCTACGTATACTTCTTTTCTTTTTGTGTCTCTACATCCTTCACATGTTTGTTACGGTTTGTTATCTACCTTACAAAGTAAATGTAAATTTTAATCACAGAATGGAGACACCGATAAGCTTGTAAAGTAAACCCTGATAAATAATAATACTACTATTTATTCCATGCTTAGGTACTTATCTTTTCTTTATTTCACTCACGGGCTTGTGATTTATTTCTTAACGTTTCGTGTATTGTGTAATTTGAGCCAGTGATCACACACACACACACACACACACACACAGACACACACATACACACATACACACTCACACACACATATATATATATATATATATATATATATATATATATATATATATATATATATATATATATATATATATATATATATATATATATATACTTTTATTAATTTTTAATGCATTGTAGAAATTATCACTAGATAAGTGTGTGTGTGTGTGCGTGTGTGTGTGTTTTAGATTTTGAACGTCGCTTTGACAATTTTTCAGTCACGTCGCTACGATATCTGCAGTGTGGCATCATGGCGCAGACATGTAGCACGATGTCAAATTATTCTAACACCAAACTGTTAATGCTGAGCGCCTAGTGAGGCAGATGTCAGCACCAATTTTATCAGTCTTTGGTATGACTCGGCCGGGATTCCAGCCTTAGACCTCCCGCATCCGAAGCGGAAGCTCTAACCACTAGGCCACCGTAACGGCTAGATCAAAATCACATCAATATTTTTTCACCATCAAACTCTCCTAACGATAGTTTCAGAAGAGATTAATCCCAACAGAAATCAAACTTCACTGTAAATTTTTCTATCCATCTCAAGGAAGCCTTTGTGACTATCAGTCGTTTAACCCCTGACAAAAAGCGCGGTAGTGTTTTCCTCACAGAGAGAAAACTTTTTGTGAAGTTGTGAAAAGTAAAAAACTTTCACGTAAATGTCCGTGGAAGGAGCTACTCAAGAGTCATTTATAACAAAACGATAAGCGACCCCAATGGGAAAATGGTTTGTGTAGCACCATGTCAGCGTATGTGGAGACTGCAGAGATGCATCTACATACTCAGATTTGTTTGTATTTGGTTATGCATGACAAAAACGTAAATATTTATACGTGATACGAACGAACAAATATAACTTAATTTATTTCCGAAATATCATATCCATCAGCCAGGAGATTAACTCGCTGGCAGATTCACCACCACGAAAACATAAGGAAAATATGTTTTTCTGATTACTGTTGATAGAAATGGCACAGAGTTCAGTATGAATCAGCAACGGCTTTGTGGATTTACAATACCAAGGAACATTGGATAGTCTTGAGGGACAAAAACAATATCGGTTAGGTTTGCTTCCACATTTCAACGAAGGAATTGTTTTAAAGTAAAAAGTTGTTTGTTTTGACGTATATAAATTTCGCTTGTTCATTTAAGTATCTTTATTTAGTGTGAGTAAATAACAAGTGCTAAAGTAATGACCAACACACAGTGTGATACTGACATGCCAATATGGACACACTACTAGTAATGACCAATGCACAGTGTGATACTGACATTCCAATATGGACACACTACTAGTAATGACCAACACACATTGTGATACTGACATGCCAATATGGACACACTACTAGTAATGTCCAACACACAGTGTGATACTGACATGCCAATATGGACACACTACTAGTAATGACCAACACACAGTGTGATACTGACATGCCAATATGGACACACTACTAGTAATGACCAACACACAATGTGATACTGACATTCCAATATGGACACACTACTAGTAATGACCAGCACAGTGTGATACTGACATGCCAATATGGACACACTACTAGTAATGACCAACACACAGTGTGATACTGACATGCCAATATGGACACACTACTAGTAATGACCAACACACATTGTGATACTGACATGCCAATATGGACACACTACTAGTAATGACCAACACACAGTGTGATACTGACATGCCAATATGGACACACTACTAGTAATGACCAACACACAGTGTGATACTGACATGCCAATATGGACACACTACTAGTAATGACCAACACACAATGTGATACTGACATTCCAATATGGACACACTACTAGTAATGACCAGCACAGTGTGATACTGACATGCCAATATGGACACACTACTAGTAATGACCAACACACAGTGTGATACTGACATGCCAATATGGACACACTACTAGTAATGACCAACACACAGTGTGATACTGACTGCCATCCTGGAAGGAGAATAAGGAAAGAAAGGCCACACATTGTGAAACTGACAATCCAATCTTTCGAATCCTAGTACTGGACGAGACACTTTGTGATGCTGACATGCCAATATAGACCCAGTAATAGTAATGGCCGACACGCACTGTGATACTGACATGTCTGTCTGGACGGAATATTAGCAATGGCCGAAACACGCAGTGATACTGACATGCCCATCTGGACCGAGTACTAATAATGACCGACACACAGTGTGATACTTGCATGGCAGTCTGGACCGACAACTGGTAATGAATGGCTTATACTGTGATACTGACATGATAATCTGAACCGAGACCTACTAGTAATAACCCAGACACACTATGATGCTGACATGTCAATCTGGACCAAGTTCTAGTATTAACCACCACACACTGTTATACTGACATACCAGTCTGGACCGAGTACTTGTAATGACCAACACACATTGTTATACTCACATGCTTATCTGGACAGACTACTAACAATGATAGGCACACACGGTGATACTGAAAAGCCAATCTAGACTGAGTACTGGCATTGGTCGACACATTGTGATACTGACATACCAATCTGGAAATTCTACTAGCAATGACCGATACATATTGTAATACAGACATGCCAATATTTACCGAGTACTAGGAATGACTGATACATTTTAATACTTAAATGCCAATCTGGACCGACTACTAGCAATTACAGTGACACACTGTGATGCCGACTTGCCATTCTAGTGCTAGGAAACACATGCCACACACTGTGATGCTGACATGCCAATGTGGGCCGAGTACTAGTAATCTAGTAATAAGCGCCACACACTGTTATAATGACATGCCAGTCTGAACCGACTACTAGTAATGACCGACACACACTATGTAACATGCCAATCCTGGCCGACTTCTAGCAATGAACGAAACACACTGTGATACTGACATACTAATCTTGAAAGACTACATGTAATGTCTGACAGACATTGTGATGCTGACATGCCAATCTGGACCGAATGCTAGTAATGACCGACACACACTGTCATACTGACATGCCAATTTGGACCGAATACTAGTAATGACTGACACACACTGTCATACTGACAAGCCAATTTGGATCGACTATTAGTAATGATCCACGCACACCAAGATACTGACATGCCAGCCTGGACCGAGTAATAGTAATGAGCGATATACAATGTGATACTGACATGCTAATCTGGACCGAGTACCAATAAACAATTACCACACATTGTGATAATGGCATGCCAGTCTAGTTATAGTATCAGCAAATACTCGACCTACATTGTGCCATCATTAAGCATATATACATGTATATATTATTACTGCAGATGTCTTTAATTCTCTGGAGATTTGTGACCGTTCCTGTAGCCTAAGTGATTAGGAGTGTCCTCATTGGAAGCTGGAGATTGCAGGTTTGAACCCCGGCAGAGTCATACCAAGAATTGTAAAAATGGTATTTGCAATTGCCAAGTTTTGCAGCCAACTTTAAGAGGCTAGTGTTAGGACTGATCTGCCTTGCATCAGGATAACGTGACTGGTTGGAATATGATGCCACATATGACCCAGTGCTAGAAAACAATATAAACTGATACACTGCACAAATCATAGTTTGATTGTTTGCCAAGCAGTTTTGACATTTGATATTCTACCTACATTTAGAGATTGCCATTCAATAGGCGTTTGTGTATTTTCCATTTCATTCTCTGTATCCTTAAGACAATCTGTTCTTATCAGGAAAATAAACTATAGAGGCAATCAAACAATGTCTCCTACACACTTACAATGGTGTAGGCTAATTAACTGCCAAATATTGTCTGTGAGGCTTGCATCATCTTCGTACTGTCACTGGTATAAGTTAATGAACTGCCTACCACTGTGCCACATACTTAGATTATTAACGCATTGCCACTACTGGTGTAAGTTAATAAATGCATAGCACTGTGTGTACGAATTGCATCATTCATTGGTTTTATATGAACGTTACTTTAACGTTTAAGACAATATAACTATCGTGTGCACTAGATGTGAGAGCTTTCAAAAATAAAAACAATTCTGCGCAATACAGGACCCGTGTATGTTATAGTTCAAGTTAGGAGAATGATTGTTAGCAATCAGATATGAGGTTTGTAGCCCGATGTTTCGAGACAAAAGTCCCTAAAGTGGTTAAAGTAATTTTAATTAGTTTTCTGCATCTGGGAAGGATAACAATGATGTCCTGCGATAAAAAGAAAAATCAAAATCGTGTAGCACACAAACATAATCAATGCGGATTTTGAAAGCACTCATCCAAAGACTGAACCAAAATAAGCATTCCTTGCTACTATTAACATGAATTTGATGTACTAAGTACGGTATCAAATGATCTCCCACTTATATACTGCTAGACTGTTCACGACTGATTAGTTATGCGTTTAATATGAGAGAGAGAGACGAAGTACAGACCTATTCACTCACATCACTTGAGGATAAAGAGCGACCATTTCACGGACAAAATAATAGCTGCTAATTCTGGACAGAGTATTGAAATCCTAAAAATGTAAGTATTCTATTTTTATGTTGCATGGCTTAGGCCATGCTGCCTGCAGCTATAGAACCCAATCGTTCCCCCTTTATTTTAATATTCTTCCCGTCTGAGTTTTAAGGACAAATCTAGATGTTTCATGTGGTTCAGAACAGTGTATCCTGACATAAAGCTATCAAAGGATATTGTACAGTTTATTGGTACGGTACAGCATCAGATAATGTACAGTCTATTGTTAGGGTACAGCTTCAGGTAATGTACAGTTTATTGTTAGGGTACAGCTTCAGGTAATGTACAGTTTATTGTTAAGGTACAGCTTCTAGTGTAGATGTTTCAGGTGGTTCAGAACAGTGTATCCTGACATAAAGCTATCAAAGGATATTGTACAGTTTATTGGTACGGTACAGCATCAGGTAATGTACAGTTTATTGTTATGGTGTTTTCCGACTATTAATTCTTTGTGACCTTACAGGTATAAACAATTAAAACCAACATGTAGCAATTTCAGATTGGTGTTGTTTTCATGGTTTGCCAGTTCAAAATCCATAATGTTTTTATTATATCCGCTCTACCCTCTGACCAGATGGTGACCATTTGAATGCAACTCAAATTAAACATATCATATACATCCGGCTAAATTGGAACTATACTCTTTGGTCACAAAATAGTTTTAAAATGTCACAGAAATTGTAAGTTTTGTTTATATAATCTTTGACTCCATATGACGAACCCTATGTGAGGGACTGTATAAGCATTTTGCATTCGGATGCTAATAAACATATGTACAAAGTTTGCTAAATATCCGCCTTATGGTTCTGAAGAAGACAGACGTATACGTACGGAGATACGGAGTGGATGAATGTTAGACAAATGGAAGGTTTACACACACACACACACACACACAGACACACTCACACATACA